TCGCGTGTCCGGGCGTTAAATAGTAGGACCCCCAAAAATACGTCATGAACCTGGGTCTCATCCTTTTTTGAAATTATTTGCTCCCTAAAAAATCACACAAAGTAAATGTGGACCAATGATGAGTAAAACTATAACATACAGTGTACATTGCATATATGAAGTTTTCTCATTTTTTCCTTGTCTGTTGCTCTATTAAACATTCATTATACAAATAGTTTTGCATAATTAATTGACAAATGTTGTATTATTTAAATTTTAAGTTTCGGCTAAAAAATAATATTTCTGGTTTTTTAATGGGTAATTTTTAGGTTACCATACACTTCTTTATTTTTTTTTATTTATTACAAGTGAAACTGTGAGCTTGTCCATGCATTCCTACTACATTGTTTAGTGACTAGTTTCAATTTTAATCAGTGCTGGTGTAATCATCTAAAGTTGTGAGGAAAAAAATCAAGCATTTGTATTTATTCAGCCAATAAACTACTGGTAAATACCAGTAATGAATTTACAGTGCTGGGAAGAGACGGAAGAGACCCCTACAAGTTAAATGATGGATATGCCCACCAATAATAAACTGAATCATTGTAACTCAAAGAGTCTACAAGTCTAATATATGCAAGAATATTTATGCTTGAGGATGATTTGTTTAAGATTTATACAATATATTCAACTATTTTGAAATATTTTTCTAATAACACAGATATGAAGGTTGAAAGCATATAGGAATTTAAGACAATAGTTTGTGTCAAAATCTGTTTATAATTAATTGTTTCAATATCAGTCAACAGACTGTTTTTTTGAGAGAAACTGTCAAATGATATGCATGAAATGTTGATTCAGGTACTGTAAAACATGTTGAAAAAGCGGCGTGCGAAATGTTGATTTAGCGAATCTCTCTTGTCATTGTCGATTTCTTTGTTTGGAGGCTATTTTGAATTGATAATAAAGTCATTAGCAACATCTTGAATTAGGGAATCAGTTCTCTCGCTAAATTCGCAAAAAAAAACATGCTCACGAAAAGACATGTTTTACAGTATACACATGTATGTAAAGACCAACAAGAATTTGTTTTATCAGCAGCCAACAGATGCTATTTTATTTTATTTTTGAAAACAGTGATTTAAAAACATGAAAAACATTTCCTTAGTTCCTCAATTATTTTAATATATACATTAGAACTAACTGAAAATATTATATAATCTATCATTCATATCTATTACTGCTTTTTAATTAGTTTTGAAGTAAATATGGATAATGAAGAAGCAGTGCAAGAGAAGTCGAACAACGTCCATGACCTTCTCATCCATCTCCACATCCTTCTGTGGTGCGACTACATGTAATCACAACATGTTTATTGATAAATAAAAAATCCCAGCGACTCATATTTCTATAATCTGCTGTTAAAGGGGAACCACTCAATCCTAGGGATTGCACCAAAGAATCATAGGACACTATTGTTTATGTTGTTTATAGTGTTTCTCTTTTTTTTGTTATACATTGTTATTTTAATCCAGAAAGTCAATTTGTTGTGAGATTAGGCTTAACTGGAAGGTGCCCCTTTAAGTTTATATTTTCTTTCTGATCAAGACAGTAAATTTATTTTAACCTGTGTTTTGAGGAAACTATACCAGAAATTTAAAAAGTTGCGTCTTCACCCCCTGCTTTAACACATTGTAGGACTCACACTATAGTGATATAATTCATGCTGCATTTAATTGTACTCTAGATAATAATAAAAAGTAAACATGTACTAGTTGTCCTACCAGTAGTAATAATATTGTCCAATATGACAACAAAAAATAGCATTCTTTTGTGTGTTACAGTGACATATTCCGAGAAACTTGTCAAACATGGTTATTTTTAGAACAATTTCATAGAACACAATGTTAAAGGAAAATTGTCACTTTTTTTAGAACCCAAATTTCAACAAGACTATCCACTATAATGCAACTATAATTTTCTAAAAAAAGTAGGCTGGTGACCACTAACTTTTTAACACTGTCTACAGCCTGATTTTGTCCAAGAAGGTAATTTTTGCAAAATAAATAAATTCTGGGTATTTACATTTATGATTAGGCTTCTACCCGTTTTCCTCCCTCAAAACTGATTTCAAAAAAAAGTTCAACTACACTTGAAATAGTGCCTCTAGCAACAGCAAAGCTATGATACTGTAAAATACTTTATTTTTGCTTGGGAATTAATTCTCGCTATTTTCGCTGAAAGAATTATTCAGTGAAAATAAAATCCAACGAATATACATTTTTTTATATATATTTTACATTCAACTCATTAAAAATTATTGAAAATGAATTCCATACAAAACACCGAAAAAGTCTATTTGAAGAAAATGAATTCCAGCTAAAATAAACTATTTTACAGTGGAATGTTTTGTATACATGTATATCTTTAGCTTAAATGCGGTGTGGTTATGGTGCTTTTGTTACACTCCAATAGATTGTGAACAGAAGGACATGTCTGGGACAGTGTCAACAAAAACTGGATTTAAATACTTAAACATTGAAGGGTAATAAAATATTCTTCATATTGTCTCTGATACAAATGTATAGTGAATTGATCTTTGTATTTTTGTTTAGTGATCACTGATCCCAGCATGAGCTGCTGATGTTGTATTACCTAATCTGAAACTGTGCCAAAACTTACAGAACTCTGACCTAACGCACCCAGCTTGTTTTCACGATTTCTCGGACCCTAGTAAAAGCTTTTCATTTGCATACACTAAACATTAAATCATTTTGTAACAAACAAAGGTCAGACGATCGTGGATGCGTCCTGTTTCAGTTACTGGCTGATACTGCTATATATAGCTCTAACTTTGTAATTTCATGCGTTTAGCAATGCATACTACAATTCCTTACTCTTGATCTGTCTTGCTTTTTGGTACACAAAAGAATTTTTGATGGATTTGGTTAGCTATTGCTTATTTCACTACTGTTGAGAACTTCATTTTTTTTGATATGTTTTATAAAACATCTATTGCTATGTTCACATGGCAGCATTCTATCGGAGCCGAACTACTGCACCTCCCACCGATTAACAGGAGATTATCTCCAATGCGTTCATACGGTCGGGAGCCGAACGAGAGCTGAGATCTGCCATAGTACGATTCAGTGCCTTCAAATAATTAGTATGGGAATAAAAACATGGCTGTGAACTTCCTGTGAATTTCATTACCAAGAAATTTGACGCCAAAGTTGGGGTAACTGTTCACCATGAATGGCTTTTTAACTCTTCTGTGATTTTTTTGGCTGAGCCGATTTAGTTCAAACTTGGCAGGCAAATCACACCTTCACTTTAGTTAGGTTGTAAAATCTGAACACAAATTCTGGCCCACTGTTTCTATGGCAACAGCATAGATACATTCGCGCCAAATGTTCTCACCCTACATTTCTACGATTAAAAAGCACGGACGTACCGGGTACTCATTATACTTGGGTGTAGGCAAAAATATACTGTTTTTCTTATGTCTACTTTCATTACCGAGAAAATTTACCTCAAAGTGGAGGTAACTTTTCATCAGCAACGACTTTTAATTCCTCTGTGATTTTTTGGCTTGGCTGATTGTGTTCATAACGTTTTTAGGTTCATGTGCTGTAAGTTACAGAGCACATACCTAAGCAGCCGTCCCTCATTTAAATAATGAAGCAAAGGCATTTTTGATGTCAAAATCGCAAAACTCTCCCTGTTTACGCAAACTGGGAAGTTCGGATTACTAAACAAAGTACAGGACGACGGAGCTTAGATATCTACGAACCAACACATACCAAAAATATTATTTCAAAAATGAATATTCGTGGTGTATTTTAAGTCTAACCGGACCATAAGTTGGAATTCGTTAGTACTCTAAATATCCAAATATATTTTAGTATAAGGTAGTAAATAACTTGACGTGTCCTTGGACTCAGACAGCAGAGAAAATTGCGCTGTTGCAAGATTCCCTGATTTTCTTTGCAAAATTAAAGCTGTTTGGTTTATGTGTGTGTGATATGTTGACTAAAGAACACAAGAAACTTCAGAGAAACCAGAGAGCTTTCAAGTTTAACTTCTTGTTTATTCTGCCATTTTCAGTTGCACCAACGACAGTACTTTTTACAGATCAATACACTTGGGTGATCAGGTGACATATAACACCATTACAAAAGTATGTATTCTGACATGTGCAATAAAGTAGTCCATGCAATAGAGTATAATACTGTAAAAGGATTAATTATTCACTGGGTTTTAATTTTGCTTATTTCGCTGACTGGAAAATGAGCTAAATTAAAACCCAGTGAATATGTAAAATTTAGCATAGAACACATTATCTAAAATGATAAAACCGTGAATTTAAAACACACTAAATATGCCTGAAATGGTAAATCAGTGAAAATTAGTCATTTTACAGTACAATGTTCAATATGTGTGCAGTGCTCAGCAACACATATCACTTACATTTAATACACTTCAGTGAAATTGTTTATAAGCTTTCTTTAATTTTATTTTCACAGTTGCCATTGGATCCTACCAGCCAGAATGTCAGTCATTGGATGAGATGATATCTCAGTTACCGTCAGATATTATTGGGAATGGTCGCATGGCATGTAATAAAACACAGGAATGTACTGGGCTGTCATGTGACTTGGCATTTAGTGTAAGTTTTTGCAGCATAATTCTCCTTAGTTGTAAACATATTTCTGTAGGTACAAGCTAGTTTCCCCTGGTTCCTGTAGGTACAAGCTAGTTACCCCTGGTTCCTGTAGGTACAAGCTAGTTTTCCCTGGTCCCTGTTGATACAAGCTAGTTTCCCCTGGTCCCTGTTGATACAAGCTAGTTTCCCCTGGTTCCTGTTGGTACAAGCTAGTTACCCCTGGTTACTGTTGGTACAAGCTAGTTTCCCCTGGTTTCTATGGATACAAGCTAGTTTCTCCTGGTTCCTGTTGGTACAATCTAGTTTTCCCTGGTCCCTGTTGATACGAGCTAGTTTCCCCTGGTCCCTGTTGATACAAGCTAGTTTCTCCTGGTTCCTGTTGGTACAAGCTAGTTACCCCTGGTTCCTGTTGGTACAAGCTAGTTTTCCCTGGTCCCTGTTGATACAAGCTAGTTTCTCCTGGTCCCTGTTGATACAAGCTAGTTTCTCCTGGTTCCTGTTGGTACAAGCTAGTTTCTCCTGGTTCCTGTTGGTACAAGCTAGTTACCCCTGGTTCCTGTAGGTACAAGCTAGTTTTCCCTGGTCCCTGTTGATACAAGCTAGTTTCTCCTGGTCCCTGTTGATACAAGCTAGTTTCTCCTGGTTCCTGTTGGTACAAGCTAGTTACCCCTGGTTCCTGTAGGTACAAGCTAGTTACCCCTGGTTCCTGTAGGTACAAGCTAGTTTTCCCTGGTCCCTGTTGATACAAGCTAGTTTCTCCTGGTCCCTGTTGATACAAGCTAGTTACCCCTGGTTTCTATGGATACAAGCTAGTTTCTCCTGGTCCCTGTTGATACGAGCTAGTTTCCCCTGGTCCCTGTTGATACAAGCTAGTTTCCCCTGGTTCCTGTTGGTACAAGCTAGTTACCCCTGGTTTCTATGGATACAAGCTAGTTTTCCCTGGTCCCTGTTGTTACAAGCTAGTTTCCCCTGGTCCCTGTGGGCAAAAGCTAGTTTCTCCTGGTCCCTGTTGTTACAAGCTAGTTTCCCCTGGTCCCTGTGGGCAAAAGCTAGTTTCTCCTGGTCCCTGATGATACAAGCTAGTTACCCCTGTTCCTTGATGATGCAAGCTAGTTACCCCTGGTCCATGTGGATTTAAGCTAGTTTCTCCTGGTTCCTGTTAGTACAAGCTAGTTTCTCCTGGTTCCTGTTGTTACAAGCTAGTTTCCCCTGGTCCCTGTGGGCAAAAG